CAGGCGCACGTCAGTGAGCCACGCGCCTGGTGTGTGTGAGCACTCCGCGCAGTTCACTGACGTGCGCCTGGCTAAAGGTCGGCGCTGATTGGCCTGATTTACTCAATAATTACTCCTTTATTATAAATAATAGAAAAAAAATGGTTCAGGACTTGTCAACTCAGTTTTACTCCTTCTACCTGCCTACGAGAGATTGTACGGCAATTCTGGGACACCCTGTATATAGAAATTATTTTTTTCTAAACTTTACAAAATTAAAGCGATCGAGGAGGAAGTACCTTTATTAGTTTATATTCTCTAGAATCTTGGAATGCGGGATATTGTTCCTGATAACGCTCGATTGCGTGTTGGGCATTTAATGAATCTACACATAAGTGACACAGTGCAGCGCGGAAAAAGTATTCCTTAGCGCTGTACTTTAATAAAGAACTTTCTAATGATGCAGAAGCAACCTGAAAAAAAAAAACAAATAAATTTCAAGTATTTGAACTGAAATTAATCAATCTTGTATCGATAAGTGATATTGCTAAAAAAAATATCTTGGATGTTTTTACCTGCTCATAGATCTGAATAGCTTTATCGTAATTCTCAAGTTGTGCGGCGTATTGCGCAACTTTTAAAAGACACTTGTTTGCTGAGGAATTACTTTCCTCACCGCGAAAATAATCTGCAGCCTGTTCGTAATGATGCACCGCACGTTCCAGGTCAACCGCTTCGCTTTCATAGATCTCGGCTATGCTTTGATGATGTTTCGCAGCCATTGTGAAACGGCCCATGTCGGTATAAATTTCAATAGCTTTTAACAAGCAACTAATTGCCTCTGTAAGAACAAACAGGAACACAAAGATGTGTATTCTTTAGTACTTTGGTTATTAGTATTTAATAAGTTGAAAATAATTCTCTCATGAAATATCCATACCATGTGTCTCTGATTTTTTGAAACAATTAGCAGCATCTACAAAATTATTAGCCGCATCATGGCGACTGCCTGCTTTTCCATGTAATTCACCCGCGTCATAAAATGCTTTTCCCGCAGCACTCCACTTCTTTGCCATCTTGAACATGTTTGCCGCTCGTTGATAACATTCTACCGCCTCTTCAACTTTTGATGAACTTCTGTTGAGTTAATTATATATATATAATCAGTAATATGTTTCGTGTTGTATGTTCCATATTTTGTGCTTTATGTTTTTATGTTTGTAAGTGTATTATGTGATACCAAAAAAAGATACACAATAAGGAGTTATAAGGATAGAGTAAAGATTATAAAGAAACAATTATAAAAATTATAGAAATTATAGAAATTGTAAAAGATTGTTAAGAAAGAGACGTAAGAACCGAAAGTCATCCGAAGCTGCGAGGCAAGGATGACATGCAATAAATAAATAAATAAATAAATAATCAGTAATACTACAACGATAGAAAATGACACTGGTAAGGTAACATTTATCAATTTTTTTTATAACAAAAGTAATAATTGATACAGTTGTCACTTGGTATGTGTGTGAACTATACCATCACTTGGGATGCAACTTATCCACGATTATTCAAAAACAATTGCAACTTCGACAAATTATTGCAAATGACAAAAACTCATCACAACACAAAAAATTCTAGTTGTATATGTTGAACAACAATTTTATCAACAGATTGTCCGTGTATTGACATGTATATTCGCACACACACATAACGCACACACATATATATATATATACATCTCCCACCACATCAATAACGAAAGCTACATTGCAATTGGGAGTAATTGATAGTTACATTGTTAATTATTTTTTGCGGTACACGCAATTAAAAAATTAGCGGTGCGATAGGGCGGAGATCAAAACGGAGAATGAAATATTATTACGCGCTTTCATCAATCGGACGAGTTCAAGTGTGCGATAAATCGATCAGCTTACCCAAAGAGTGCGCCGAAGAAGCTCTTCGACGACGACAACTTCTTCTCGGCCTCCGCGACCAGCTGCAACGCCTTCTGCTCGTTGTCGGCCATGGTGTTCGAATCGAATGTTTTTGTCCGTGAAGGAGTTTTTTCTCAGATGTACCGATTCATCAACCAAAACTCAACACAAAATTCCACTTTGCGTATATATATTTCCAGACGTCACTAAACTCTACGTTCTGCGACCGCTGCGCTGTTCGTCGGATTCCGAAAACGCGACTCAAATATCATCGTGTCAGGGCTGCCAATCCATCATTAAGGCCGGACCTTTCAAAGAGTCGCGACAATTGGGTGCGTTCAGACAACTCAACGGTTGCGCAACGGTTGAGAGATAATCACTTCTGATTGGATCATACTTTTGGAACCACAGCAGATTTTGAAGAATAGTCCTATCATAAGTGATGATCTCTCAACCGTTAAGTTGTCTGAACGCACCCAAAAACGCGAAAATTAAGTGCGTTCAGACAACTTAATAGTTGCGCAACGGTTGAGAGATAATCACTTCTGATTGGATCATACTTTTGGAACCGCATCAGAGTTTGAAGAATAGTCCTATCATAAGTGACGATCTCTCAACCGTTAAGTTGTTTGAACGCACCTAATAAGTGTGTTCAGACAACTCAACAGTTGCACAACGGTTGAGAGATAATCACTTCTGATT